AAGAGGTATTCCTTACTACCTGAGTTCCAATAAAGGAAAAGTTGATAGAAAGAGAATATAGTATTGAGACCCCTTGAGAACATGGGAGTGAGTGCTCCTCATGGCTTCATGGAGATGCTACCCAAATGGTGTCAGAACCTCCCTATGTTTCCTCGGCAGCAGCACGAGGTTTAGTTACAAGTAAGAGTAAGTGAGGAGCCATCTGACTTGAGATAACTTAGCATTTTACTCATAGGTTCATGGACTTTCCATATTAATCACCAATGATACAGAAGGTACTCACCTAGCATACCGCGTTGGTAGAGTCATAGCTTATTAAGGATTTAATTCTTATTTCTCAAGGGAGATAGTGAGAACTGCCTGACATAGATCCTAAGTCATCATCCCTGCTATGGTCTGAATATGTGTGTCCCTCCAAAACGTACAGGTTGAAACTCTAATCCCCAGTGAGATAGTATCTTAGGAGGTGGAGCCTTTGGGAGGTACTTAGGTCATGAGGGTGAAGCCCTCATGAATGAGATTAGTGCCTTCTGAAGGACACTCCAGAGAGATCCCTCGTCCCTTTCCACCATGTGGGAGATCCCTAGCTTTTTTCTGTGCAGCGAGAAGCCGTCAGCTTTGACTCAGGAGGAAGACCTTCACAAGAACCCAACCACAATGGCATCTTGATCTTGGACTTCGAGCCTCTAGACCTGTGAGAAATAAATATCTGTTGTTTATAAGCCACCCAGTTTGTGGTATGTTTTTATGGTACCAGCACAGTCTAAGTGCTCTCATGTGCTTTGGTTGTACAGGATCTGCTCTGAGAAAAAACGGTTTTTGAAAATGCTCTTGTGATCAGAGGCTCTGAAGAGGATTTTATTAATATGAAATAAAGCAGCTGCCAACCATAGATGTTCTTTCTGATCTGTCTTCCTCCCTGACCATTCCATTCCATTCTATTAAAATCAACTCACGATGCTTTAAAACAGCCTGTTCCTGGCCTTGTGCAAAGATAACATTCCTTCTGCCATTGCAAATGAGCCAGATGTGTCCTCCAGCAGGCATGGGGCACAGAGGCTCCAAAGCACGCTCCAAACAGTATTAAGTGCAGTCAGATGAGCTGTGCTCAGCGCTTTACAGGCTCATTCACACTTTGGAAGTCATTAACTCAAGCACATCTTTGTTGTCATCCCATTAAGTAGCAACCTCTTTCTCTGTATTCTTTTTTTTTTTTTTTACTGTGCTTTAAAGCTTTGAAAGGAAAGTCAGTTTTGTCACAGATAGATACACCTAGAGAATACACAATGCTTTATTGCTCTTCTTTTCAATTAATCTTTCTTGTGCTGGTCTAGTGGGACTGTGTTCTCTGGCAATGTTCCAGAGGACGCCAAGGCTGACCCCGTCTACCTGTCATTGTTTCCTGGGTGGTTCGATTATTTCCCTCTGCTTTGCCCTGGCAGCAGCAGCTCTAGTAATTGAAGCCACCTGTTCAGTGGCATGTCCTCTCTTTCCCAAGAGCAGCTGAAACTCCATATGTTGCACCACTGTCAGCTCACCGCTACCTGCATTTGAATTTGATTGCAGAAGAGGAGCACAGTGTCGACCTGAACCCAAATTGATTCTGCTGGGTTTTTCCAGAACTTGCAGCTGGCCCAAGTGCATACATATTGCTCTGCATCAGAAATGTGCCTTGATTTAAAAGAATTTAAGTGTGGAAAAGCATAATTTAGGAAACTGAAAAATCTGATGTGATGGTTCTTAGAAGCATAACCTTTACAATAAAGGGAACTCAGAAACCACTTATTTCAATCCTCTATCAACATATAATACCTTCCTACAAAATCTCCCATTAGTGGCTCTTATGGAGCATCCAATGATAAGGAGCATATTCTCTCAAGTAGCTCATGCCATTTTCGGAGCAATAATAAAATTTCTCCCATAATTAAACTAAAACTGAATTCCCCTATTTTATTCAGCCCATTTACTTGAATGTTCACATTTGTAACTATGTAGGTAGAATTTTTTTTACCCAAACTTCAATTATTTGAAGACAACTGTAAGGCTCTTCTTCAGGCAAAATAGCCTCCGTATTTTCAAACTTTCTTTATCATATCATGATTTGCAGATTTTCTCTTCTTTTAGCATATTGTTTTTTTTTTCTCTCACAAAATTGACTATCCTAACATGTAGATCACAGAACCAAACTGGTGATATGAATGCTGAGTGCAGAAGGAAGTTTATCAGATCTTCTAACCAGAAACTACAAGACAGACAGAAAATAAAATAATAAATTCAGCGAAGTTGCAGAATAAAAAATCAACATATAAAAACCAGTTGCATCTCTATACTTTAACAATGAACAATTCAAAAAGAAAATTAAGAAAACAATCTCATTTACAATAGCATCAGAAAAGAATAAAATACTTAGGCATAAACTTAACCAGGAAAACAAAAGATTTACACACTGAAAACTATAAAATATTGCTGAAAAAAGCTTAAAAAAACAAAAATAAATGGCATAACATTCTGTGCCCTTGGATTAGAAGATTCATTGTTCAAATAGCCATACTATCAAAAACAATCTACAGATTCAATGCAATCCCTATCAAAATCTCATTGGCAATTTTGCAGGTACAGAAAAAAGTTATGAAATTCATATGGAGCCACAAAGAACCCCAATAACCAAGACGATCTTGAAGGGAAATAAAGATGGCATCAAAGGTCCTTATTTTAAAACATATTACAAAGCTATTTTAATCAAAACAATATGGTACTCACATAAAGACAGACAAATAAACCAATGAAACAGAAGAGAGAACCCAGAAATAAACCCATGTATACATATATGGCTAACTGATCTTCAACAAGTTTGCCAAGAATACACGTTTGAGAAAGTGTTGTTTTTTTCAACAAATGGTGTTGAGAAAAGTAGACAGCCACATAAAAGAAAGAAAGAAAGAAAGAAAGAGAGAGAGAGAGAGAGAGAAAGAAAGGAAGGAAGGAAGGAAGGAAGGAAGGAAGGAAGGAAGGAAGGAAGGAAGGAAGGAAGGAAGGAAGGAAAGAAAAAACTGGACAACTATCTTACACCATAAACAAAAATCAACTTTAAATGGATTAAAGAACTAAACATAAAATCAGAAACTGTAAAACTTCTAGAAGAAAACATAGGGGAAACACTTTATGACATCATTCTTGGCAGTGATTTCTTAGACATGACACCAAAAGCATAAGCAACAAAGTAAAAATAGATAAGTGGGAATACATCAAACTAAAGAGTTTCTGTACAACAAAGAACACAATAAAGAGAGTAAAATGACAACTTATGGAATGGGAGAAAATATTTGCCAACCATAATTCTGACAAAGAGTTAATCTCCACCATATGTACAAAGTACTCCTACAACTCAACAAAAAAAAAAAAAAGAAAAAAAGAAAAAAAAACACCAAAACCCTAATAATCTGATTAAAACTGGGCCAAAGAGTTGAACAGACGCTTTTCAGGAAAAGACATAAAGATGTATAACAAAGAGCTGCAATATCACAAGTCATCAGGGAAACACAAACCAAAGCACAATGAACTATCACCACACTTGTTAGAATGGACGCTGCTATAAACTAAAAGTTTGTTGAATTAGGACTGTTCTAAGACTTATCTCTGTTGTGATGGTATTTGAAGGCAGGGTCTCCAGGAGGTAATTAAGTTTGGATGAGGTCATGGGGGTGGAGCCCCCATGATGGAATAGGTGCCCTTGTAAGGTGATGAAGAACCCAGTTCTCTCTCTCTTTCTCTCTCTCCCCCTGATCCTGCCATGAGGGAACAGTGACCAGACAGCCTTCTATGAATCAGGACGTGGACCCTCACCAGACACAAAATCTGCCATGGCTTGATCTGGGACTTCTAAGCCTCTAGAACTGTGAAAAATAAGTGTTTGTTATTTAAGCTACCCAGTCTATGGCATTTTTGCTATAGCAGCCTGAACTGATTAAGATAACCACCGTCCATAACACAGAAAATAACAAGTGTTGGTGAGGATGTGGAGAAATTGAAACCCTTGTGCACGGTGGGAATGTAAAATGGTGCAGCTCAGTGCTATAGAAAACAACATGGTGATTTCTCACAAAATTAAAAATGCAACTACCCTATGATCCAGCCATCTCATTTTCGAGTACATATCCAAAGAATTGAAATCAATGTCTCAAAGAGATATTTGCTCTCCCATGTTTATTGTGGCATTATTTACAATAGTCAAGAGGTGGAAACAACCCAAATGTTTATTGACACATAAATGGATAAAAAAATGTAGCATATGCTTGGAATATCACTTAGCTATAAAAAGAAAGAAATTCTATTATATGTTACAACATGGATGAAACATGAAGTGAAGTGAGCCAGGCACAGAAAGACGAATTCTGCGTGGTTCCACTTACATGAGGTATCTAAAAGCATCAAACTCATTGAAGCAGAAAGTAAAACAGTAGTTGTGAGGGCCTGTGGGGGGGAAACGGGGAGTCACTGTTAAATGGTGAAGTTTCAGGCGTGCAAGACAAAGATGTTCTGGCGAGCTGCTGCACACCGTCGTGTCTACAGTTAACAATGCTCTATAGTACACTGAAAATTGTGTTCACAGGTTAGATCTCACGTTATGTGTTCTTTACTACACTAATCGTAATTTTTAAAAGCCTACTTTGGTGTCCATGGTTATCAATATCCTCAGCAAAAAAGAGAAACCTGCATAGGAGAAAAATAGAACAGCTGTGGATTTCTACCAGACACATGGATGAACCAGACTTTCCAAACAATCCTGCCATTGAGAAGCCCCGTTCATGGTCTTTCAAGTCCTTGAAGGCTTCACAGAAGTGCCCATAGGTGAGATGGCAAGAAGCATCAGCTATCTCAAAGGGAGTTTCTGCTTCCAGGAAGAAAGTCTCACATTCAGAGGTGCTTCCTGTTTTTTCAAACACCTTGCCCACCTTCTGCTCACGAAGCATGCATTCTGCAAAACGTGAGTGAGCCCCACAGGAAACTGCCTGCAAATTCAGGTAGCTTTTTTGATTCTTACTTTCAGAGAAATGCCAGCAAAAGCTCTAGTCATTTGGGGAAGAACAAGCCTGGAAGAAAAGTACACAGCAGACCAGCACCAAGAGGGTGAGAACATTTTTCTGTGAAAATGTTATCTGCAAATTACATTGTTAAATAAATGTGCTTTCTTTAGGTTTTTGGCTCCTGTGGGTGGCGTTAGGTGGATGACTGCAAGTGGGTGGTGTTTGTCATTTCTTCGATGTGACGGAGGGGGAAAAAGGAAGGAAGGCTGAGGGGGAGAGTAGGAAGGAGGCCCACCAGGGCTGGAATGCCCCAACTGAACTCAGGGGAAGAATTACTAGAAGAATTTTTCCATTTCAAGAACTCACAAACCTTTCCTAGGATTTTAGAACAACCATCTTGAAACAAGCATTGATGGCACTGTTAATTAAATTGCATTAGTGTTTGTTTGAGCTTTGACTGAACTATTCTGGGGCAACAACTTCTTATCATGGTTGTAGGTGGACTAGTTGGAATGAGAGGGCCAGGCTCTGTATTCAGTTTTCAAATGGGCTTAGAGAAATTCAAGGTGATGGGTGCTAAGTCATATTATAAATTCTGGATAATCTTAGGTAATACATTGCTTTTTATGTAATTAAATTCAAAATAGGGGAAATTGGTAATTTCTGGTAACAATACTTGTTCAGCTCCCAATGTGTATTTTTATATTGCTTTTGTTTTTTTTTTCATTTTTTTCCTAATCCATATTACCAAATTAAGTTAAATTGCAAAACTGCTTTTGTTTATCAAATTGAGTCCTTGAAGTATTTTTTTCTGAAATGAAATAACAATCAATAACCACAAAAGTAAGCTTCTTTCAGTTACCTGGCAGAAGGGCTGGGTGAGAGCACTCTTCTCCACCAGGACTCACACATAGATCTGTAACCTCCACTGGTCCGAGCTGGTCCATGTGCATCCTAAATAAGACCACCCTTAGTTGAGAATTAAGGAAACAAAGCTGTTAACCTCTTTTTGGTTGTAATAAATATGAAAACACCCCAACAACTATATATCAAACATAAACTTTCTAACACATTTTATTTGGAAAAATATACATCTAAGGGTTCAAGAAACATAATAATTTTTTAAACCGTAAAATCTGTTCTGTGCATGAATTTAGTCCCCTTTCAGCTGTCCCATGTAGTCTGGTAAACCTCCATGTCACTGTGGGGGAATATCTACTGAAGGTTCCCAAAAGTAAATGCTATAGACTCAAGGAAGTGCTTATCCTGAGGAACCTCACATCCTCTCAGAACGTACAAATAGCGTGGTAAGAAGATCACCAAATATTGATGAAAGCAGGCTAGATTTCTATTTCACTAACTATTTCTGAATTTCAATTTTCTCATCAGCAAAATGAGGGAATTAAATTAAGTGTTCTCTGAAGCCTCTTCTAGCTCCAAAAAGTATTGATTCGTAGGTCCTAAGAAAACCTGGAATCAAAGACAGCCCATGCTAAGTGTCAGGGGAGTTGCTGTCATGGTTCAGAGGAGCAGACGCTGTACAGGGCTGCAACAACGGGGCAGCCCCAGGGGGCTGCGAGATGGGCTGGGTCTGCAAAACGGACAGAACCTTAAGAGGCAGAGAAGAGGGGCAAGAGTTCACAGGCTCACTCGGAGATCAGAAGATGTGCAAATATGGGTAGATTCAAACGGACCCCATATGCACATCTGCATGCTAGAAAAAATCCTGTTTCTTGCTGCCCTAACATGCAAGGATAATAATGGTCACTTGTGGAAAAGTTTTAGTAGCTAACACAGATGATCCAATAGGCAGAGTATCCTGAGAGGAGAGCCAACAAGATGGGCTGGATTTTAAACCCAGAGCTCTTTTTTGTTGTTGTTAATTTTGTTTTTCAATTACAGTTGACATTCAATGTTATTTTATATTAGTTTCAGGCATATGGCACAGTGGTTAGACATTTATATAATTTACAAAGTAATTCCCCTGATAAATCTAGTACCCACGTGGCACCACACACGGTTACTACAATATTATTGACCATATTCCCTATGCTGTACTTTACATTCCTTTGACTATTCTGTAACTACTAATTTGTACTTCTAAATCCCTTCACCTTTTTCACCCAGTGTCCCCAACCCCCATCCAATCTGGCAACCATCAGTCTGTTCTCTGTACCTATGAGTCTGTTTCAGTTTTGTTTGTTTATTTATTTCATTCTTTACATTCCACATATAAATGAAATCATATGGCATTTTTCTTTCTCTTTCTGACTTATTTAATTATGCTAATACCTTCTAGGTCCATCCATGCTGTTGCAAATGGTAAGACTTAATTCTTTTTACGGCCGAGTAATATTCCATTGTATATCTTGACCACATCTTCTTTATCTAAACAGTTCTCTTTTAAATAGTTTGGTGTCCCTTAAAGAAGTTCAGAAAGTAAGTATTCCTGAAATAAAACACAAAATCATAGGATAACAAGACATTGTCTTGAGGCAATGAGGCAAATAGACAGAGCAATACTATTCACTAAGAAAGTTGCAGCTCCCTATGTACAGGTACCTCTACATGACTCCTGCTCCTTGCCCTTTGACCCCATCCTGTTCTCCCAGTCGGTCAGTTCCTCTATGATCTCTCTTGCCTCCAGGCCAATTCAGGTCCCATGGCCAACTACCTCTAGTATTAGCTACCTAGACTCCATTATTTGTTTTGTTTTCATCTGCCACATCCTTTGCCATCCAACAATCCCATTACTTGCTCTCCCCAATTCTACGCTTAAGCTCCCAAGCCTGTGGTGGAATCAAAACTGTCCCGAGTGTGTTCCCCATGTGTTTGTTTTTTATAAACCTCAATTGGACTATTGTTACTACTCAACTATTTTTAAAAGTTCCTTTATAATTACATCTTTAAATTTTCACCATCATTCATTTTCTTTATCTTCAAATTCTTATTGTCATACTTTAACCCTTTGATAATATCCTACTTCTTGTATTATTGATGTTTGATATTATTAGCTGACACACACACTCCAATTTTTCTCTATCACTTCGTCTCAAATTTATGCTGTATTTTTACCCAGGGATATACTTAACCAGCATTTAAAGGGTGTTTATTAAAAGCCAGGCTCTTATACATATGTTGTCATTTAATCTTTTCAACAACTCTGTTAGGTAAATATTATCATCTCTATTTTATAGATGAATAGGATGTGTGCCCAAGATCACAGCTAAAAAGAACAAAGCCGCGATTGAAACTTAGTTGATGTCATATCAGAGCCTACATTCTTTCTTCTGACCCTGAGGGTAAGTGGGGGAAGGAGTGTGTGTGTGTTGGGGGGGGATTCGAACATCTATGTGTTCAAATATATTGTCTCATATCCAAGACCAATCTGTCCCTTCTGCCTCTGCCTTCTCGCCCACCCTCACTCACCTACTCAAGAACTTTATATCAGTTAGCTTTTGCTGTGTAACATGCCCCCCCCCCAAACTTAGTGGCTTAGCAATAATCACATACCATTGCTCACACATCTGAAGATAAGCAGATGTTTCTGCTCATAAGGGCCAGTTTGGGCTCATTTCAGCTGCCCTCACTCACATCTCAGTGGCTAGCTGGAGGCTTGTCTGGGACTGGATGGTCTAGAACAGCCTTACTCACATGTCTGGGAACTGGCCTGATATCAGCTGGGGTGACAAAAGTGGCTAGGCCATGTGTTACTCATCACCCAGTAAGCTGTTTGAATGTGAATGTCTATAGGATTCCCCAAGGGACATAAAAGAACAAGCCCCTGTGTGCAAGTACTTTATAAGTTGCTTTTACATTACCTGTGTTACTGTCCCATTGGTCAAGCAAAGCCACTGTCAGGCCCAAAGTCACCCAAGGATATAAACAAAAGGGAAACACAACTATTGTACAAAAGTCTACAGACTTTGATATATTCGTTATATACCACCCTTCTCTTTAATCTCTCCCTTTCCACTGTCTCCTCTCCCTTGATCTACCAACTGGGTGCAGTCTACCCTGTTCTAGGAAACCTTTCTTCAATCCCACTGTTCCTGAGGGATTATGTAGCTGAACCCACGAGTGTCAGGGGTTGACTGTGTAACTGAAAATTCTCTGAATTAACTTCCATGTAGACAGAAAACTATGACAATTAAAGGATAACCAATGTAGTTTAAAAATGTGTAATGACCACAGCTACTGTCAAGAACAGACAAACAAAAGACTTTTTCATTTCAGAGAGGAATATTGATCAGAAATCTTGGCATATAGTGAGAATAAGAAAGTAGACTGACGTTTTGGTTGTTATATTTCTGTTTGTAAAATCTCTCCAATGTCCCTTCTTATTACCTGAGCCTGAGGGAGACACTCTCGGAGCTCCGCCCTGGTGCACCAGTGCTCCAGCATCTGTCTCTTTCCTGAGCCTTAGCAAGGAGGCAGGACATTCAACCTTGATAGTTCATCATCACTTATATCTCATTATGTTAATAAGCAAAACAAAAACACCTTAATCTTTCTCTGTCTTTACCAAAGCTCTGTTGGACGGAATATGTTCTTTTAGCTTTGCAAGATACTACGTAACTACCTCGTGCTTCCCCAACACCGTCTCAGAGCTTCCTCTTGTCCACATCCTTATTCACACTCAGCATTTTAATTCATTTCAATACGACAGTATGAAATAGTATATAATATTTTAATTTGCATTTCTATGCTATAAAAGTAATGCTTCACTGCACAAAATGTTAAAATGTAGTTTTTTTCTGATTTCTCTTGCTGTATCCCCCAATCTAATTTCTTTTAGAACTAACCTGATTCTTTTTTGTTTATGATCTTTTGCCTGATAAATTAATCCCATTTTTCTCTGGGTAAATATATTTCAAAGCAGGTGTTTACACCTCATGGTAACAGAGAAAAAGTAAACTATTTGCATAAGTAGAGGTAATATTCTCCAATTGTCCTTTCCTGTAGTTCTCCCACTAGTTGATCAGCAATGCAAGCAGCCACAGTACTGCATGTAAAGCGATCTTGTGATATTTGCTGCTTGGCTTAAGAAAATGAAGTAGCTAAAAATCTGACAAAGATTTCCTCTTGTCACTGTCTTGCCTTTGGACACTGGTGAGGGATTTCAAACACTAACAGGACTTCACTGGACTTGGATCATTTTGATGAAGTCAGAAAAGCACCTAGGTTCTGGGCCTTTTCCAAAAAAAAAAAAGAAGTGTGTGTTTGTGTGTGTGTGTGTGTGTGTGTGTGTGTGTGTGTGTGTTTTAATCCCAGGATTTTATTGGGCAGATGAAGGTGGCTTCATTCCTTTGGAAAATTTCCCTCTATGTTTGTGCAGTTTGTGATGTGCTTTTCTCTTTGTTCAGATGGGATTTGGAGGAGCAAATCCTGATGTTTGTCTCAGTGAAAGCATCAGAACATCCAATGATGTCATATCGTTAAATAAAATGTATAGTTATACAAGAGACATTATAAAGCCTTTTTAAAGGTCATTGCAGAATCTTAAGTGATCTGAAAAATGTTCACAAAATCACATGGAGTCAGTGGAGATTTTATATGTGCATATATGCAGTAGTTATGTTTCTTTCTTACAATCTATCTATCCATCTACCTATCTAGACAGAGAAATACAGCAAATTATTAACAATAGGTATGTTTGAGTGAAGAGATTATGAATTTGTAAACACTTAAACATATATTTCTGATTTTCAATAGTTCTACCATACACACGTTTTATTTTTGTAATTCAAAATGATTAGAAAAGTACCTATTAATAAAAAAGATAATGTGGCAAAAGTTCTCAGAAGACTTGGCCTTAGACTACAGGAGCTTTGATGAAGAAATTGAATATATACAATTATTTTCCTTTCTGGTTTCTTGAGTTTGACATTGGTTTGAGAAAATAATAATGGAATAATAACTTCCCAGGTATATTTTGTAAATATACATTCAGTAGATTCAGACATTTGCAGACAAGATTGGTAGCCTGTTGGGGTCTATTTGCATGAAGGACAGAGGGTTTTGGCGATAAAAAGTTATTATTTTCTTGAGGTTAGTAGTTGGTACCTCTGTGTCTTCCCTTAACCCCATCCATTGTGATATGGATGGGTATTTTAACCTCGCATTGGGAGGCTTTCCAGTTAATGAAGGCAATCAGTGTACTAAAGGGAGTTAGAGCAGACAAGCTGAGTTGAAGGTGTCCTTGGGCCAAAGAAGAGCTCAGTCACACCTTCATACAGTGACAACGAGCTTCCTACTCCTCTTTCAGAGAAGAGTCATGACTCTCAGGTGAGGAAGTTATGAAAGAGAATGAATAAAATAAATGCTTTATCAACTAGTGTTGGTACAAAGCAAACAGGTCTCAAGGCACCCAATTTCATTGGTATCCATCAAAGCATTGCTACCTCCATCTGAAAGCCTGATAAAAATGAGAGACAGTAAATGGGTGAGGTTGTGGGGATCTGCTCCCCGCCTTCTTGGGTTCCCATCATATCTGTTATCATCATAAATTAATCTCTTGAATAAACAAATTTAGAGATATTTTAATATGCTACTGTACCTAACTTGTTAAAAATTCCTATATACAATTTCCTAAGACCAGAGGAAGAATTTAAAGCTTCAAAGCAATTGAGCACATTTTTATGAAATTTTTGTACCATGTGTCTAGCAGTGTACTAGGTATTGTGAAGGCTAAAGAGACAAGACACTCCCTCTGAATGAAGATTGCAGGATCTTATTTGGGAAATAATAGTAGATGCACATGCAGCATACAAGCATCACGTATGCCAAGTAGGATGACCTATAGGTGGAGAAAGTGGCCTATTGCAATTTTAGAATATGGACTCTGGGTTTAGTTCCCCTGAAAATCTAATCTTGGTTTCTTTTAATACTAGCTGTATCTAAGGCACCTTGGGAAAGTTACTTAATCTCTCTGTATGCCTTGGTTTCTTCACCTGTAAAATGGTGGCACTAAATCTGCTTCATAAAGTAGCCTGTATGTATTATGCTTAGAAGAGCTTCTAACACACAGCTAGAGCTCAATAAACAATAGCTCTTATCACTGCCAAATGTCAAAAAAGAAAAGGTCCAGAGAATACATCTGATACTTGTATAATACCGATTGCCAGAGTTAGAGCAGACTTTTGACAAAAAGCGATGCCTTTTAGAAATGGCATGGTCAGATTTCAAAGAACATTTTCAGGTTTGCATTTTATAAAAGGCTGGGAGTTACTCATCTCAATGACAGCTGCAAATCATTCCCATACGGAAAAGAAAATAAGTGGGAAGAAAAAAACATGTCAGTTGATTATTCTCTTTTAAAAATCTTACATCATTGATACGAGGTTTCTCTTGAGAGTTTGAAAACTTCATGACAACCCACAGCTCATGATGGTGACAATTCTGAGGATATAGAAAAATCATTTCCCATGCAGGAAAGAAGAAAACATGGTAAGAAAAGATAAGAGTATGCCATAATTTTTTTAAAAAGGTAAGAGAAAACAAATATATATTAGTGCCTACTATGCGATGCGTGGTACTAGAATCTGCAATCTAAAATTAAATAATATAGCCTGTACCCTCAAAAGTTTAAAAGAAGGCAATGATTAAGTGATTAAAATACAATGTTAGGGAGTGGGGCAATTGAGCAAAAAGGAAAAAGGACTCACGGACATGGACAACAGTGTGGTGATTTCTTGGGGGGGCGGGTATAAGGAGACTAAATGATAATGGGAAAAAATGCAGTGAAGATTAAATTTAAAAAATGCAAACTGATTAAGGTTAGACCAAGGAACCACAGAAGGCATAGAAGGGGTCTCTCAGCAGGGCCAGGAAAGGCATCCTGGAGAAGATGCTACCTGAACAGGATGCAGAGGAAGAAGTAGTGCAGGCACATCACTGTGTCTAGGTCGCCAGTGTGGAAAAGTGAGGGGTGGAGCTGAGCCTGGAGAGTAAAGTAGAGGACATGTGAAGGAGTTCTGCCTTTATTCTGAAACCAACATGAATCCATTAAATGATTTAAGAAAGGGAATGATAGTTACCTATTTTTATTTTTGAAAGATCATACTGGTTGCATACTTGGAACAATCTGAAAGGTAGACCTTTCATTCTAAGCTTTTGTAAGTTTTACAGCTACAAAATCTTGTGTATTTATATTGTGTACTTATAGCTACAAAATCTTGTAGCTTTCTGAGTCCATAAAGTGAGGTGCAACTCACAGTCTGTTAAATCTGGGCAGCTTGCTGGTCTGCTCCAGTGCTATCAGCCATCCAGTAGTCCTCCTTATACTTCCCCTCAGTTCCCT